CTACCTGGTTATCGTCTTAATGAATATGTTTGATATTGAAGCGCTTAAAGTTCACTATCTTCACCTTCGGCTTTGCGAGATATCTTTCCACCACCTTTTCCCTAGATTTGAATCGTCCGTCCATCTATCTGACTACTAGCTATGAATCAAACTTCACCAGGATGCGTCACACACCTTTCTCATAGGCAAACTATAATCTGGATTTTGGAGCCTCATACTCAGCTTTAGGAGCCACAACATTTTTGAGTTTTTCGGCTTTGATCAACTCCTTAATTAGATTACGGAGGTGTCGACACTCATACCCGTTGTGTCCATGGTCTCGGTGATACGTGCAGTATCTCTCAGGATCTTGGAGGTGCCTCCCTCCTCGCTTTCATTGGTGATACCTTCTTGAAATACTCTTTACTCTGGATGGTTTTTACTACTTTCACCATTGAGACTCTCCGAGTTTGCTAGGGAAGTTCATGGGTCAGGGGTGATCCCCTCTTATGATGATGCTTCTGTCGGGTAGTTCCTCCTACCTAGCAACTGATTATTCGAAGATTGTCACAAGTGCTTAAAACAAGCACTGCTCAGCATGTGAGGGTCACACATCAGTCATGGCAGTTGCACTCTCTCTTGAGTCAGTGTGTTTCTAATTGCATCCATCATCTATTCTTTGAGCTCATCGATTTGTTGAGTCACAAACTCTCAGGTACAATCTATGTTATTTATGATCTCTCGATATTGGAGTTCTTCTCCTTGGATTAGTCATCTTCTTGTATGTGGGCCTGTGACATGTTCTACGCTTATGGCACCTTTTAGGACACCCAAAGAATTGAGCAGGAGCAGAAGAGATAAATAGAGAGAGATGAGAGAGCGGTGAGTTATTTTTATATGTTATATCAACATCTATTACATTTCATGCTTCTCTATTTATAAGGGGTTATGATTAGTGTGAAATGAAAATTATACCTAGCCCTCTTTAATCGGTTGATCCCCAATCAATCAGTTTTATGCCGTAAAATTGATGAATATCTAGCGTGTCATCTTTTTATCGGTCATGCTCTACTTGAGTAGTCTCCGAATCAATTAACCTGTACTTTGGCCGACCTTTGGGTCTGTTGACCCTTGGTCGATCGCTCGATCAGTCTATGATCGGCTGTCTATTGTCACCCGGTCGTACTTCACTATCTTTGTTTGATGCATGCTCCGTTTGGTGCCGTTTGATCCACGAAAGATTTGGTCAAGGTTATTTTTATTAACCCTAATTCCTTTTTATAAAGTAACAATCATATTTTTGATGTGATATTAAGGATTTAAGTGTTATGCATGTAAATATGAAACTTTAGGTGTAAGACATACAATTGCATAAGAATTATGTGATATGAATGTAAATTTTCCTCAACATTTTATTTATTTGTTTTTTATGTCACATTAAATTGCCCTTTTTTTATTTTTAATAAAAAGATTTTTATTGCTAGCCATCAAAACCAAAATGAAAAATAAAAGTAATTCAATATTAGAAATAGATTTTAAAACAATAAGAATGATTATCTTGATGGATTGTATGTGAATGATTTTGAATTAAGACACTTTCGATGACACCCCCTAGCTCTTTCCTAGTTATAAATCACGCATATAATATAATGACAAAATAAAAAATTTACAGGGAAAATTATTCTATCAGGACTTTGAACGTAAAGATGCGCTCGGACTCCACTGATATACGGACACGTGAGTTCAAGGACCCACACTCAAATCTTCAGAAAATAAAAAAGATAACACACGTGCTTTCCTGTAATCCGGCTCGGTAACACAGTGGAATATTCCTCCCGTGTTATTCATGTGTTATTATGGTGATATTTATATGTTATTGTGTTATTATAATACCGGAAATATTCCCAGAACAGAATAACACACGAATATCACCACAATAACACATGAATAACGCGGAATAATATGGGGTGAATATTCCCTGAGCTAAAACGAAATTTTTTTCTGTCACCTCCACATGTCATGATTTAGTTGGACTCCAAACGTATCTCTACATCCGGACTCCATCCGGAGTCCGGATGTAATATTTGTTCAACCGGATGTAATATTTGTTCAATTTACAGACATATTACACAATTCTCATGTATTTCTATATCAAATACTTAATTTTTGATATTTTGATGTTATAAATCTATTTATTTAATTTTGAAGTAGTTAATAATGATGTTATTTTTCGATGATATTTTTGATGTTAATATAAAAATTTAAATGTCATGTGTATAATTATTAAAATATAAATGTTAAATTTATAAATATATAAAAATTGTGGCATGCATATAAATGCCTCGATAATAAAATAATAGGGGCTAATATTGGATCTATAAAAGTACATGAAAGGAAGCTGTTCACGTCATAGGCCCGGCCCACATGAGTGCAAGGTTGGGCTTATTTGTACGATTCTGACTAGATCAAGTACATTTAATTATTGGGCTCGTATGCATATGTTAATTGATCGAATCGGTGGTAGAAAAGTAAGTCATAATTACATTTTTTTGCTGTGACATTAAAGTGTTATGTATGTATGTTAATATATGATAGTTTAGATCTTAGGTATATAAATACATAAGAATTGTGTGGTATGTATTTAACTCCTACTTTTATTTTTAATAAATATTTTATATGTATAACTTTTCATTTCAATTATGTGGTATGTATTTAAGAGGTCAGCATGACACTCTCACCCCCTGATGTAGCGCCCAAGCGTCAAGACCAGTAGCGCCACAATGCCCACTCCAGGTTTCAAAACTTGATAGCTCGGCATTTTGGCTCCCTAAAGTAAGCAACGAAACGCACGTTAGAGCTCCACGACACCGCTATCGCGACGCCCTAATGCCTGCAACTGAATTCAACCAGTTTCATTCAAAATCTCGGCTTCTCTACGGGAAATGTGCATCTTGATTGTGTGAAGGAGAGAATGAGTGTCTTGAAGTGTTCCAACGGGAGGGACAATCAATTTACAATAAATTTAGAATTGGGTTTTATTTTAAAAATTAGAATGGTCATTTTGATTGATTGATTCTATGGGAAGTCGATTTGGAAGCATGTGATAATGAAAGCGATGTGGCAATCGAAACCATGTGACAAACTGATGATAATGCTTCTTGATGGGCCCCATCCATATAAAAAAAGGAAGACGTATTAGAACTAAGCTACTTTTTAAAATCGGAATTATTATTTTGATTGGGTCTTCTTTGAGCTCATTGATTTGTTGGGTCACAAACCCTCGGGGACAATTTATACTGTTTACGGTCTCTCGATATTGTAGTCGTTCTCCTTGGGTCACTCGTCTTCTTGTTTGTGGACTTGCGACATGTTTCACGATCATTGATCTTTTAGAATGTCAAACCTTGACTTGCTTGTGAATGACACTCAAGGAATGGTTCATGACAATGAGAGAGAAACAAAGAGAGATGAGAGGGGGAAGAGATGTTTTTATATATTGTATCAACAATCTATGTTATATTTAATGCTCCTCTATTTATAGGGGGGTTATGATTAGTGTGAAATGAAAATTACATCCCAACCTTCTTTTATCAGTCGACTCCCAATCAATCAATTTTATGCCGTAAAATTGATGAATATTCAGCGGGTCATCTCTTGTTGGTGAGCCTCTACTTAAGCAGTTTCCGATTCGATCAACATCTAATTTAGCAGGTTTTTGGGTCAGCTCACCCTTAGTCGGCCGCTCGATCAGTCCCTCACCGGCTACTACCGTCGCTCAACCGTCCTCCATGTACGTTCACTTATTCTCTTAGATATTTATCAAGTGACGTGTGTTCAGTTTTGAGCCGTTTGATTTTGCGGAAGATATGATTAATGATGCTTTTTATTATAAAACCCCAATTTTATTTTATAAAATTAACAACGTGATATTAAAGATTTGAGTGATATTTATGTAAATATTAAATTTTAAATGTTAAATATGTAAATATATAAAAATTGTGTGGCATGTATGTAAATACCCTCAATTATAAAATAATAGTGATTAATGTTTATTCTATAAGCTTTTTTAGAGTAAATGAAAATGAAGCTTTCAAACCGTGATAGGCCCGGCCCACATTATCGAAAGGTAGACATCCTCACTTGTACGAAATAATTAGGGATCCCCATAAGCCACAAGTAAATTTAAATATTGTGCCCGGATGCATAAACATATTCAATAAAAATAAATCAAGGAAAATAAATAAAAATAATTTTGTGAAACAAATAACGTCTACAATATTCACGACAAACTTCTTCCTCCATAGCAATCGATTACGACCATAAAAGTCTACTATCATCGAGAACTACAACTAAACTACAACTATTATTGTTGAACTACTGTTGTACATTTACAATGATCAACTTTGTAACTACATATCCCCTAATTCAGGAGAAGTGTGAACCCGTGCACTCACAATTACTAGTGAATTATTTCAACTCAGCTTGACCTCAAATCTTTTTCTATTTTTAGGATTTTCCCAAAAAAAAAAAATTTGAGGTGTCTCATCCTATTTACTTCTCTTTATTCATATGAGAATGTTGAGTTTCCACATAATGCTAATATGAATTATTCTACTACCGACAATTCTGACATGCATCATATATGCATTATATATATATATATATATATATATAATATTTGATTTTCTTGAACAATGCGTCATGTTTTTCACATGCAAAATATATATAAATAAAATATTATAAAAAAAAGGTAATTTGTGAACTAGAGGGGAGGACGTATATTGCTATCCTCTTCCCTCCTCTATATAAATCTGAAGAGCTTGCATTGATTCAGTGCACAAACATAGACCCTAATTAGCTAGCAGGAAGGAATGGCTGAGAATTCCATAATAATCGGAATAGATTGGAGCAAGTCCCCCCTCCGAGTGGCCGGATTAGTCGACAAAATCACCGGCAGATACATCGTCATTAAAGGATCCAAAGGTTCTTCTTCTTCTTCTCATACATCATATTCCTCCTCCCAATTCTTCACAATCAATTCTTCCTCTGATAAAGTTCATCAATTTGTACTAAAAAATGAATTTTGCAGTTGTAAAAGTGAACATCGATGAAATCCCGAATAGGGGAGAACTGGTGGACGGCTTTACCGACGCCCTAGAAATAGTCCAGTCCTCTCTGGGCGGCACAGATATTCATTCCAGCGTTGTCGTCCTCCCCAACGCCACCGGTTCCAGGAACCGCGACGCCATTGCCTTTCTCGGCGAGAGCAACAGAAACGTGGTCGTCAACGTGGTGGAGGTGGTGAGCGAATAGTCCCCCGCCGTGGCCGCCGCTTACGGCGGCAAGGTGAAGCCCAACAAGACAAAGACTTTGGCCATCATTTCCACCACCGGCGACATCATCGACGTGTGCGTGGTGTCCGTCCAGCCCAAGGACGTCCTGAACGAGATCTACGAGTACACTCTTGAGGGTCAAAAAAGCCATCTTGAAAAAATCGATTTTGAGAAAATGGCGATGGATTGGGAGAAGGAGAAGGAAGATCTGAAGAAATCAGCCGCTATGCCGGTGGTCGGCAAATTCGTGCAGGCTATAGCAACGCAGTTGGCCGGGGCAACTGACGTTCTTAAGAACCTTCTGGAAAGTTCGGAGCTGAGCCATGCGGGGGAGGTGGATGCGGTGGTGTTCGTGGGGAATGTTTCGGCGCCCAAGGTCCTGCGGCAGGTGGTGGAGGAGCGTTATCCGGATGCGAAATTATGGGATGAGATTGATGCGGATGAGGTTGCGGCTTATGGAGGCGCGGTGCTGGCCGCTAATAACGCCAAGAAGAAGACGAGTGCCGCGGCTGAGTAATTTCATGTGCTTGTATTAAATAAATAAATCATTTCATGTGGTGTTAGTAGTAAATAAAATTTCTGCACCATATCTATGGATGAATCGGGCTGAAATGAGTTATAGTTGAAGCACTAATATTAAACTACATCTTATATCTTAATATATTATGAGTAAACCCAAAGATTTTTCAAGGGTTTTGGTCATTAAAGAGCGAGGTTGAATCACCCTGTTGTTGTTGATGCAAGTGGGGTCTTTCTATGTCTTCTTCAGTTTGTGTTGCTACATTTCTTGTGCCAACAACATTCGAACAGGTACGAAAATTTTGATTCTCCAATGCTGAAATATTGTCATTCGCCAAAAAATATGTTATTAAAGAATTATGAAAACAAAAAATAACAATAAGAATGGAGAGTATGGTAGGAGACATACCATCATTGACGAATACTTCGCCTCTAGCATTTGAGTTTCTTGTGGTGGCAGCTTCTTTAGTGTTGGTTTTCGAATGCCTTATGCAATGCCTTATGCGCGTGTTTGCATCAAAAGCGAGTGCTTCATTGGTTGGGTCGATATAACTCGCCCTGCTAACATAAGAAGCCGCGTTGTCTAACCCAGCTGAACGATGTTCCGGGTTTAATAGGGACACGGGATTTATACGGGGATTACAAGGGGGTTATAACTCGTTGTACCTCCCGTGTAACTCCCGTGTAACCTCCTGTATAATCTCTCGTGTAATCTCCCGTATAACTCCCGTGTAACCCCGCTTTAACCTTGTAATCTGAATGGATAAAATAAAAGCGCGGGTTACAGCTGAGTTACATGAAAGTTACAAGGAAGTTATAACCCGCTTGTAACCCCCATGTAACCTCCATATAACGTTCGTGTACCCTATTATGTACGCATCTCTACGTACCCCTTGACGTACGCAAATTTTTTTCCTAATAGGAGGAAGATAAAAATTCGAAGCTTTGCGGATTTATTATTAAAGTCTTTTGAAAGAGTTAAATTCGTCCATCATGTTCTCCAAATCCTCAACAGTGCAAACCGAGACAAGTACGTCTAAATTTTGTCCAGGAAGTTGGTTGCAGATGCGGACAGAGGGCCGCCATATGTTTTCTCCATCGTGAAATGTGGTATCACGGAGAACAACAATAATCCTCTTTTTGTCCGCCAACATAGTGCACGTTTCGGTCGCCACGGGGGATGAGCTTGCCGCCACAGCTGCAGGGGAGCTTCACCTTGCATAACGATCGGTCTTCAGCTTCGGCGTCAGCATCGGGCAGGCTGTCCAAGTGGTGGTCGTGATAGAAGTTCCGAAAAACAAACTTGGGGCAGGGGTTGGGACAAAAATTCCAGTTGAGGGACAGCGGAGCGCAGGAGTTCTTGGAATTGGGAGTGTTAGTAAAAAGGGTAGAAAAATGGAATGGAGAGATGGGAAATTTGACTGCTGGTTTATGCATATGTTGGCTAAAGGAATGTACAAGCTGTCATTTCATTGACATAAATTTTTTATAAGTATAAAAATGGTCTTTTGCTTTCTTCCAGCCAAAAAATAACAAAATTTATAATATTCATCTCTGTTACTTCTGACCAACCTCATAATTCGTCCATATAAATGATGTATCCTAAAACCTTAGAAGATGGAATATGAAATGCAATGCATCATGTGTAAATGACTAATAAGCCAGATCCATAATTTACGTCTTATAAGGCCCCATAAAACTTCATTCTTGGATGCATTTGGATAAGTTTCACTTGCTTATTATAAGAAAAACTAGTGAAATCCTGAACTGTACTCTATGTTTTGCTGGTAGACACTGAATTCGACAAGAATGCTTATGCCGAACTTGTTGGATCTCATGGAATAGCTAATATTGATTTAGTGAACTAATATTGATCTCGCATTTTCACAATCTCATTGCTCGTTCTCATAGACTATATCATCACATGTATTTTTCTCAATTTTTCCAAACAAATACTAATTTGCATTTTGCTCTGAGCTTATCATCTTTTTCTTTCTGAAATCCATCAGAAAAGCTTTTTGAGCAATCTCTCTCTGCTCTTTTCATCTGGATGTCAAACCGGATCAACAAATTTTCAATCCCACCATCTTGTTTCCTCCTCTGAACGGTGTATACTGAAATCCTCAAACACTTGGAATGTGAACCATTCTTTTATAGGCACGAGTGAAAAAAAAAGCTACTAGAAAAGAAGGCCTCCATAAACTTCCTTAGGCGAGAGCATCAGATGATGTTTCTTGATCCGACAAATCCACATCAAAAATCAAAGAATCTGTGTTTTTTTTCTTATTACTGTAACAAAATATGACAAAAATTGAGTTTTGCTTCAACCCTTACTTTTAAAAGGAGTATTTTGGCATTTGCAAGCCTTCTTGTATTATCTTCATATAAAATGTGATTAAAAGCTAAAAACTCACCAGTAAAAGAATGGTTGGCCACAACACTTGCACGTCATTTTTCATGGTAAATATGAATATTATGCCCATAGAGGTGTAACGGATCAATCTATAAAAATAAAAATAAAAACAGACTATCAACCCCATGTTTTTAGCACTTGAAAAGATACATGTAGGAATACACACTCAATTTCAGTTTCTTGTGATGGATTGGAGGTAAATTGAAAGTATTCAGAGTTTCTTGAGTTTTAAGTGTTGAATGAGTTGGTTTTAATGTTTCATGACTAATTAGCTTTTTTTGCAGATATCCCTTAACAGGTTATCAAACCTTCTGCATATGTTTGGCATCAATAGACTCAAAGCTATGTTATTCTGTTTAACATCCTTTGATTTTTACGTTTATATTAGATATGGTGATAAAGGAATTGTAATATGAATTACAAAATATTACAAATTCATGCCTTTCAAATTATTCTTCTAGCCTTGTTGAATCAGGAGAAATTTTGTGTTGATTCAAGTCTGATTCGTCGTGAGATTGTCTGAAGAGTATACAAATAAAAAAAAAGAATTGAATCCATCTTTGATAAGGAGATTTATTTTTTTGTGAATAATTAAAAAAACATCTTTGATTTTTCGCTCATAAAATGGAGAATTTTTAAAAACCTGCTTAAAATTGAAGAGCTGGCTACTAACTGTAACTAAGGATCTTATAAACCAGGCTGAAAACAGTGACGGGCTTTGTATACACTAAGTGGAATATTCTTGATGGAGTAGAAAAGGTGAGGGTATTACCATATTATGACTAAGGTTGCACACGACAATATTCATTGGTTGTGGATGCTTCCATGTTGCTGGGGGTTGTAGGTCCTTTGTTGTGAGTTGTAGGTTCGTTGTTACCCCCCCCTCAAGCCGATATTCCTACGTTGGAGTGTCAGCTTATCACTAAGAAGAAGAAAGCGAGGTGTTGGAAGCGATATGTTCAAGGCGTCATGTCTACAAGTTGTTAACTTGTGGAAATGTGTTCAACGGCAACCTCGTTGGACAGAATTTTTTTCAGAATGAAGTGATAATCTATCTCTAGGTGTTTCATACGGGCTTGGAAGATAGGATTGCATGTAATTGCCAGAGCCGAGGAGTTGTCACAAAAATTGTAGTTGGAGATGAAATCTAAATATGAAGATCAAGAAATAAATGCCATAGCCATACGACATAAGTTGCTTCTGTAGACAATCCTCTATACGCCCAGGAATGAGCTACGGAGAGTTGTTTCTTGACTTGCCAAGAGATAAGATTAGGACCGAGGAAGGAGCAACGGCCTGTAAAATAGTGGCAGTTTGATGGATCGCTAGCCCAACTAGAGTCAGAATAGCTGCGAAGAAGAAGAGATCCTTGTTGAATGGGAATGCCAAAGTCTAATGTATCTTTGATGTCCCAGAGAATGCACCTGAGTTGTTGAATTATTTTTAATGTTAATATTACTAATGATGTTTAGTGCATGTTCGTTTCTGGGTATAGTTCCATTATAAGTACTTTTGACAAACCTGATGCCTGATATAAACACATTTTGTGTTTCACATATCAAGTGTGTGAAGTATGTGCAGTGTGAATATTTCTTGTTGAGATGTTCATGATACTTGTTGCAGAAAAAAACGAGAAGGGATTAATTTCATTGTAGCTGTTGATGCTCATAAGAAGCTTCAAATTTGCACTTCCAGGTGCCAACAATATGACTGAAAGGACAAAATTGGTTAAAACATCTACCTTACTACATTGACTGATTTATTGCACTGCAACCGCCAACTTAACTTTCTTTGTGAGCTGAAAATCAGCACGCATTCTGATATGTTGAAATATTTTCTATAGCTATCAATGTTCTTGAATTTTTCTCTAATTTTTTTCGAGCAGATGTAATTACTTTCTTAAAGCAGCATGTATTTCTTTTAATCCTTCATCAAATTAGCTCTATTCGCACAACTAGTTAACTACTGACCATGCAATTTGAGGTTATTGGATTAGAATCGAGCTTCATTATGTTTTCTCCTTTTGCAAAGTGCAGGAGCCAATACAATACTAACTGTAACTAAGGATCTTATAAACTAGGCAATGTTAATAAGAGAAATGCCTTCCTATTTTCAAAATATTCCATCAAGTATTCTTACCTTTTTTAATAAAACTGTGATGCATCACATCCTTACCTCTAGTAATCCAATTACACTTCCCTACA